GCCTGATCATGGGAATCATATCACAAATTGTATATATATATTAAAATATGTTGAACACCCTAAGTCTATAAAATTTTTTTCTCAAATTCACCTCAATAAAGTCAAAAATATTTTAAAAAGTGAATGCTATACAGTACAGGCCTCTAAAATCCCAAATTAGACCAATTTTCATTATCAAACATACATTATTTGGTTGTCAGCCTCCTGACTCTGCCACAATTTTTAGGCATGATGAAAGTGCACAGTTGTTGGCTTTTAATGGACATTCATATTTCAGATCACATACAGATTGCATGTTATAATGTTTTAGAACCCAAAATCAACCTTACAAATGTGAAAACTATTTATTTTTAAATGATATAAGGAGGCACACCTTCATTATAATATTGCATTTCAGGATTCCCCTACTAGAATATAATGTAGTTTCAAAGCACTGCATCAAAATTACTTCATGAATTTCTGACTCCAGCATAATCTCTCTCCACTCTTCCTTCCCATTTATTAAATAGAACATAAGAGAAATTTACTGTTCACACATGCCATTATTTGTTGATGTATGGATATATGTACGTTTGAGGAAGGAAGAAAAGCAAAGTTGATACATGGTATTTTAACTGATAGAGCTAATTTGGAGCAATTCTGGATGCAATGGCCATCACGGGAATTTGGCACACAGGTACCTCATCAACTGACATATATACTTGCAGAGTTTTATGATGACCAATAATAATAAATACAGGCAAACAAAATGTGCTAATGGAAATATTTAAAAGGAGCAAAACTCTTACAGTTTTCCCAATGACCCATATCAGACTATTAAAAAATACACCACCCAAACTGTTCTTTGGCTTTAAAAGAAGTTTATGGATCTCTCCTGAATATTTGTTTTCCTTGTTAATTAGGAAATATTCACTGCTTCCTTTTCAAATAAGGTCATAGTCACATAATTAGGCCATCTCAGAGATAATTGAACTTCTAGGAAATAAGTGGGGGTAAGAGGAATAATTTATAAAAATCAATCAGCAAAATACAATAATTGACCTTTGCCTAGTGCAGTGACCTGATGCTAGATCTGTATTTTAGCCAAGTTCTTGTTTTTGTTAACATTTATTGAGTTCTTCCATCCACTCTGTGCTAAGCTCTTAACATACACTGTAGAATGCTAACATACACTATTAAGTGACATGCACTAAAAGTGACAATCACTGTCAAACTAATACTTTTTAAAATGTTCTTTATTAAGTTAATACTTGTTCAAGAGAAAATCATACAAGTGATGTTTATGACAATAGCTCATTTACCCTAACCATATATTTTAGTTGAGAACTTACATTTTCAAAAACATCCTATTTTTCTAAAATACAAACTTAATGGATTTTTCCAAAGTATTGTATTTGAAAAGTATATTTGACTGTGTAAAATTAAAGTTTAGAAAGGTGGCCCATAGTCATGATATCATCTTTGTTCTTTTTCTTTAAACACTCTTCGAAGAGACTAGCATAATTCTTTACTTCAATTTAATTATATATAACCACTAGTGATATGAGCAGTTATTATTTACCCATTGGTCAAATTAAAAAGCAGGGACCAGTTAGTGGCAGAGGAAGTCTTGATTACCATGCCTAAATTCCAGATTCTAGATTTTTCCATGGTCCTACTTCAACTCTCATTTCTTACTTCCTCTTTCAGAGTCATATAATCCTATATTCATTCGTTCTTCTTTTCATTTAACCATTCATTCATTACTCTTTATTTTATTGAATAATTATTGGTTGAATGTGTTTTGGAGTGAATGTTTCTGCCCTTCCAAAATCCCAATTTGGCTATATTTAGTTATAGGACTGTAAGGAACTAATTAAGGTTAAATGATGCCATAATAGGGGAGCTGAATTCCACAGAATTAGTGTCTTTATAAAAAGAGATACCAAAGAGTATATTCATATCTCTCTCTCTCTCTCTCTCTCTCTCTCTCTCTCTCTCTCTCTCTCTGTATTCATACTAAGGAAAGGCAAAATGAGGACACAGCAATAAGTTGCCTGTCTGCAAGCCAGGGGGAGAGCCCTGCCCCAAAACTAAATCAGTCAGAACTTTGGTCTTGGACTGCTAACCCAAAGAATTGTGAGAAAATAGATTTCTGATTAAGCCACCCAATATACAACAACCTGAGCAACTAATACAGTCTGCTTATTAAAAAAAAATGTTCTGAGCACTGGACAGCACCACAAAATGGAACACAATCAAGCCTGCACTAGAAGGATGTATCTTTGTAAGCTCCCAAGGAAATGTTGCTCCATTAGGGAATATAGGCAAATAATGTGCACCCTCCATAATGTCTTAAATTCTTTTAGTAACTGGACTCACCTTTACTGGGGGCACAAAGTTTAGGCAGTATTAAATTGTGACTAAGAAGGCCACAGATGGTGTCATGGAAGAAGCAAACATGAAGAATGGATAGAAAATTTCTTAGAGTGGGAAGAAAAGAAGCTCCCAGGTAAAGACAATGGGTGTAAAGAATACGAGTTTAATAAAGTATAGGAACTATAAATTAGACATGGTTAATGAGGGAAAGCACAAATCAAGATAACACTTTTTTTCTTGAATAACTAGATAGCTGGTAATGAAATTTATTAAAATAATAAATGCCGAGGAAGAGGAGCTGTGTAAAGAGAAAAGCACAAGGACCAGAGACAGTAATGATTTGTTTGCTTATGTCGGAGACCTGATGCTTAGTAGGCACTAAATAATTGCTTGCTGAATCTGGAAGTCCTCATGTTTATTTTTGAGGGTGCCTAAAAGTTTTTTTTTCCTCATTCAATTCATCATTTAAAAAATGAAGTAGTATCAAAGAGTGGTCACACTAATTAGATCACAATTATCTGTCTAACCAAATAAGAAGGAAATGAGCTGCAGTTAGAGCAAAACATGACATGGGGACAATTAAAAATGAGCACACAGCAGTGGGGTAGGACACCTTGTGAAAGTTCCTTGTTGATCATGATTGGATTTTGTATTAACTAGGGCAAGATTTAAAGAAAAAGAACTCATCTGCTCCTCATGGTTAGCATTTGCCAAAATCATGAAGAGCATCTTCTCTGATTTTGTTCATTAGACCTCCAGAGATAAGCCACACTCTCAAAAACGAAGGAACCATTAAAATGGTGAAGAATACTACTGAGTTAGTCATCGACTGAATTCCTGAAGGAAAGAGAGACAGAGAAAGTATGATCATTTGCCAAAAAGTCACCAACTATTTTCCATTGCTTGAATTTCAAGCAATGGAAACAACTCAAGTCTGACATGATGAAAGAAATCATTTTATATTTCTCAAGGTAAATATTTGCTCATATACATGTTGAAGACTTTTTACTCCAAGGAGAAAAAAATTACTATTTTTAAATTACCTCTAAATGCATATTTTCCCCCACGTTCTTCCCCCAGTCTATAGGTATTATGTTTAAAGAGACACAGTCCTGCATTTACCAACCCTGCAATTGCAAAATGAGTTCATTATTAAGCCTGGCTTATTCTGGGCCTTCTGGATAATCTTGACCAGTGCTACACTTGTTTAACTCTGGAGATTTTGTAATAAAAGTTTAATGAGTTACTTATTATTAGAATGTTTATAGCCATTATTTTAAGGTGAACAATAATGACGTAAAGTTCAGACGCATTTGGTTTAAAATGTATTCAACTCACATATCGGTTAATGCTACAGTGATTAAAAAAAAAAACTCTTATCGATACACATGTCTAAAGGCAATGTAACTAAACAGATTTGCTGGGGCTTTGGCCAAGAACAAAACTAAGGAAGGACTTCTCACCTGTATTCATGTTAAATCCAGATCTTCACTTTTGGCATTTCAGAATTTGAACAAGAATTGCTTTTATAATGGCATTTTGAACAGATTTCACAAGGGAACAGATAGAAGGCAAGAGGACAAAAAGTTGAACTTAAGTCTGGAAGGAACTGCATACTTATTTCTACTTAAAATCGCACCAGATATTCTATTAATGATCATAAATATTAAGAGAACATACCAAAATAAATCTAGTTTATCTGATTTCTGTCTAACTGAAATACTATGAAACCACAGGTCAATTACATCTCTCAAAACACTGTTTTTAACCTATGCAGAAGTTGCCTACACGTTTTTCAGCTATAGACAAGATTTTCCAGAAATTATGTTATGATTTAACCACAAGCTTTCAAGTTGCAAAAATAATTATAAAGTGTACACATGCATCTACCTATATACATATATGAACACACTAAAGTTGTATAAACTCAAAATTCAAAAGACTAGCATGTTACCTGTCTTTATTGAAATAAAATTTAGATTTTATAATCACACCATGACTTCTAATTCTTAAGACATTCCCAGATGGGTTCTATGAAAAGTATGACTGAAAGTAATGACTGAGTTTTATAACCATTTGTGCTATTGTTTTTATGCATGAATTATTTCAATGAGTACATTGCATCTTATCTAGAAGCAGATTCTATAAGCATATATAATCAAAATTAATAAGAGTACAGAGAAACATGAAAACGTAGAATGAAAGTAAAACCAAATTAATTCATAGCCACAAAGTGGAAAAAACAAGGGTTTTCCTCCAATCATCTCAACCTTTTCTCCCCTCATAAAAGGTAAAATATAGCAAACACAATTAGCATAAGATTGTTTGCTAATGTCACTTGCTATTTTACCCATTGGTCATACCCAATGTTTCAAAATGCTAACAGTAAAACTATAATTTCTTTCTTCAGTCTTTTTAAGTTGATACAACTCTTTGACCATTCTTTAGGTTGACAATGTTCTCTTCTATCATGCTATACCTTTAAGCAATACATTGTTCCTATCAAGAAGTGAGATTATAAGGGAGTTCATTCTTAAAGATCTATTTCCAACAAATGGAATTTGCTTATTTTATGGTCTCTTACATAATTAATTTCTTTTTTACAAATCTGAATATATATGTAACTTAAAAAATGTTCTTACCTCCCATCCATAGCTGGGGTCTTTCAAGTTTGACCTTTGCTCTCCTACATAAGGCCCAAACTTTTCACCTACTTCAATCTTCCTTTTTGTCCATATTCCTAGTCCTGCTCCAGGCATATTTGACTCTCGAAGTTCAAACTCAGGAGGAATAGGGATGTCATCAGGGATGTAGATGGGGGCTTTATAAGGAGAGCCCTCTTTGGGAGTGAAGGCTTCACTGGATGTAGCTGGAGAACATGGTTCTTGAATATTGAGTTGGGGGGTGCTGGCTACCCCATCTGCATCTGGCATTTCTTCCAAAGGTACTTCAGGGTAGTTGTCATATGCACATTCATTACCTGTGAAGAAATAAGAACTACATGAATCCTACTGATACAGAGACATGAAATTTCACTTAGGTAGTCACTTCATTCTGTTGTTCTTCTTTGAAAGCTAAATAGTGTGGACCATCGTTAAAATGTGTCTTCTTAAAATCTCTGATTCACAAGTGGGGAAGAAGTAGGGATTATGGAATCTGGTTTATCTGTGGTGAATTCACAAATCAAATGATCTAATCCTCAACTGTCAATACTCAAATGAGCCAGCTCGATCCATCATCCGTCTGGGAAATAAACAACAGCTTAATTATTGTTCTGAATAAAACACAGACAAGAAGTAAATGTGTATGTAACCACAACCCCCAAACCAAATTGGGGGCCGACAGGATTATGATTTTATCAGAAAGTTGGCTCAATCAATGGAATTAAAAATAGGAGAGTCATCAAAGATTACAAAGGCTGCCATGTGCAACAAGGCTTAAATTTATGTGGCAGGATTATTTATTGGAATGTGAATTTGCATTTGTTCTTCCTCTTTTCCCTTCCCATTTCAAACACTTCTCCAAGCCCTTGGTATTTTCTTGCCTCAGTAACTTATGCTTAGCAGAAAGTCAAAGTTACTCAAGACTAGTGATTCTTCTGAACATTTGTAAAAGCTAAAATCACTAAAGAGAGTAGGTGGATTTTCTGGAGGTAAATAGAAATTTGGGGTGCCTTGGAATCTACTTAGAAGAGAAAAAAAATTCCACCAGTTTAAGAAGAGATAGACATCAGAAGGTCTTTGCCTGGGGCAGTGTCCTGGGGAGGTCACGGCAGGTGGAGGGAACCACTGGGAAGAGTGATGAGGAGGCGGGGCACTACATTCAGAGGCTCCAAGGACTGCCCAAACTAGCATAGCCCCACACCTGACATCCATGAGTGTACCATGTGAGACCTCAAAGGCCTTTATGAAACTTCCATGGATACTGGGGATTAACAGGAGGCTGGGCTTGAATTCCCCACCAATTGAAGGGGATTTCAGTTATCTTAAAGCAAATAAACACATGTTCCTTGTCCACTAGTGTTATGAACTGAGAGCCATGCCTCATTGGTTTGATTCATAGAACTTCCAGGGCAGAACTAAGAAAAATGGGCTAATATGGAAAGGAGACAGGTTTCAATCAGCTGTCCAAAGGTAAAATGAGTGGCCTCAAGTTCCCTCTGGGTTGCTAACGCAGCTTGGATAACCACAAGTTGGGGATGATATGGAGGAATTTCAGGTTCAAGTTGGTGACTAGACTATGTGACCATTAAGATCCTACCCTGCAGTTCTGTGGATTATTAAAGTTTTCCAAGATAGTTTACTGGACTAGAGAGTAGAACACATGAATTTTAGCCCCAATTAATTCTCTACTGATTCTTGATAGAAAGAACAACACTCTGAAGTACATCAAGCACTACTCCTAACTCTAAATTCATGAAGTGCAAAGTAATGGTGCAGGCAAAAGTGTCTTCTAATGAGGTGATGAATTTTGATTCAAATATTGAGATAGTGCCATTTAAACCAAGCATATAACAGAACTCCAGGACTAATCCTGTTTGTGGTTCATGGGTTCTCGGCATACAAGCTCATTATCATTCAAATTCAGCATGGCCAAATTCCTGAATGTTATCATTTGTGCTCAAATCAATTATCTTACCATTTCCCTATTCCCATTAAGAATACTATCTTTGCCCTAATCATCCATGTGTGAGGCTTTAAAATTACACAAAAATTTTGCCTCATTTATTTCATAATCTATTCAGTCACTGACTGCTATGCATTCTTCTTACAAAATCATTACCCTCGTAGTGTTCTTTCAATCCACGTTGTCACCCTTGAATTTTCTAAGGGTACTCTAAATGGGTCTCCAGACTACCAGCCCTCTCCACTGTTCCCTCAACACTGAGTTTGTACAATGCTGCCTGGCACACCTTCCTTTTATTCAACAGACTCTAGTAACTCTAGATGAAGTGCAAACTCTTAGGCTTGAAAAAGAAAATCTGTCATTCTGGAGGATTGAACTCAGGGCCTTTGGTTAATAGGCAAGTGATATACATCCCTAGCCCTTTTTTCTTTAGTTAAAAAAAAAAAGTTAAAAAGTTTTGTTTGTTTTTTTTTAGTTTATTTTTCAGGTAGGGTCTTCCACTTTTCCCGGGGCAGCTGGGACCGCAGGCTCCCCACCTCCATTTCTGGAGTAGCTGGAATTATAGGTGTGTACCACAATGCCCAACTATACTGTTCTCCCTTTCTATCTCATTCTCAATACTTCTCAATAGGAGCTTCTTGGCCACAATAATCTAATCCCTGTCCTCTAAACTCAGTGCACATTTCTTCTTCAGTTGTTCCTGCCTGGATAACCTATCTCTGTTCTCCTGCCCAAGCAACTTCTAACCATCCTCCCATGTCAAGTTCCAACTTACCCCATCACCACCACAAGTAACCCCCTTTCCTCCAATTCTTATGTCACCCTTCAGGTTAGCAACCAAAAAGAATGCCTTACTGCTTAGGGTTTAATGTATATGGTTGTTTTATTTCTAGCTAGGAAACAGGCCCTTAGAAAGAGGTGTTAGAATTCTCACTTCTTAGGAATTCGCCTAGTGAACTGCACAAAGGTGTTTAATGAATACTTGTTAAATAGATAATTAACCTTACATATAATTTTATTGAACTATTACACCAAATCAACATTTTCCTACAAAATATAGGAAACTATTCTGATCCTGACAATCACCTTTAAAGCATAGAAATAGGCCACAACCGTTTACAAACTTTTCTCCAAACCCAACATCAAAATAAACTACTTTAATAATGTCCCCAAGGAAATATTCTTAGAGAAATACACTTCAGAGTGCAAACACACTTGATAAAGTCCATCTACTTTTATTCTTTAGGGAGAGTTTGCCCTTTAACCTAATACTTAAAAGTTCAATGAGAGTCTGAGAGTCTTGGTTACAGTAAAAAAAAAAAAAAAAAAAAACCTATATATATATATATATATATACACACACACACACACACACACACACATCTGTCTAGGTACACACCTATATTGCCAGCTGCTTGGGAGGCTGAGACCAGGAGGATCACCTAAACCCAGGAGTTTGAGACCATTTGAGCAATATAGTGAGAGCCTCTCTCAAAAATATGAATTGAATAATTTTAAAGACCTCTCTCTAGAATCGCAATTACTGCAGATGCAAAGTTACATTAAAAATTCTTAAAGGGATTTATTTATCGCCCATGGTAAGGATTATGTTTTTCTTAAGAAATGCTGCAAGTTGGAAGACATCATGAAACTTATATACTTGTCTATTTAAGCAGTAGAAAACAAAAAGAAATTCAAATAGAACAATATTCTTCCGATAATTACCTAAATTTCCCCTACTTCCTTAAAGAGTTAAATCAGTCATACTGTTGAGTCCAACACAGTGATCCCAAAGCTTAAAATAGGCTAGAGACAGGCACGTCTGTACCCTCCCACTCGCATAACTAATCCTATGACCTCTCAGTTACCCAAGACTCCTCCAATGCATAATCTAAATTAGTGCATTTAGAGTCCAGTTCCTGAGAAGACAAAATACGCATGTGCCCACACTGCTGCACAGAAGAATTTGAATTAAAAGCTTGAATGTAATTCTGCTTACAATGACAAAAAAAAAAATTGAACTAAGCCTAAAGAACAATTTATATTGGTCAAGCAAATCCATAGAAAGATTCACAGTCATATTCATCCCATGCAGGCATTATATGTACATGCAAACCTGGGCAATTTGTTTTCAAGCCAGTGTTAATCTAGTATCATCTGAATGAAATATAAAAAGGCTGTGGTGACAAAAATGGAACTATAAAACTACTGAGTTTTACCAGTCAAAACATGCAACCCTATTTCAATGTAATCTAGCATTATAAAATTTTCAACAGTCAATGCAGTTTATCACACCATATTGAATATTTGCATAAACCAAAATAAACTAATGCCACATGTACATTCCTCAATAACTATTCAAAAACCTGCTTGCACGCTTCATCTAAATGACAAACAACCTCAATTATCATATCTCCATTAAATCTCTGTTATTGGGGAAAAACTGGTAGGTCCATTCCCTGGACTATACCTAGAGTTAATTAAAACATTTCTCAGAGATCACCCTGACAGATTGGGCACATTTACAATAGGTAAGTATCAGGTAAAAAGTCCTGTATACATCAGCAACCCCATAAAGATAACTAACCCTTGTAACTTCTGGGAGTTGGGCTGCCTGCTACTGTAATTTGCTCCGTGCATCCTTTAGGCAGGCCGTTAACTGAGTGAGGCCAGAAAGACAAGCTTATTGTTGGATTTAGAGCAAACTGCTTGGGAACTGCTTTTGGAAATCAACATGTTCAATTCAAATCTTAAGTGTTCTAATATCCTTAGAGACCAAGCAAAAGCCCACACTTCGATTAGCTTGTATTTTTTCCTATGAGTCTGAATAACTGACACAGGATTCCACTTAAGAAGAGTTCCATTTTGAAAACATCAGAATCTGCAAAGAGAAAACTGCAGAAAAAAGTACCAATAATAATAATTTCTACTGCTTTGACACTCACAATAATGCCATGATGAGGATAAGTGCCATTTTGAAGATGTGGAACCTGAGACTCAAGGATGCTAAACAGTGAGGCTAACTCAGTGTCCAGATTCAGTCCTCCCTTTATGATTAGGTCTTTTGCTTTTTACTTTCTGTAGAAATATGTTGCAAAGTTTGTTTCATCAACATTATGACTAAGATATGTGAATAGTTTGTTTTCAGTTTTTCCAATTGATAGTTTATCTTTTTTTTACTATTTTCTAAAACTACAATTAATTGCTGCATAATATTCCATTACATGTAGCTTTTAATTTTCTGATACATAAATATCCTGAAATAAATATCCATCAATATTCAACAAACATTTACCAATTCCAATTTCCTTGGGCTAGAATCCTATTTATTAAAAAAAAGTATTGATTGCTTTT